ATTTCCTTTTGTCTCTTTGTGTTTGCCAATTAACACCACATCTCTGTAATTGTAATCAAAGTGGCAGGGTATCAGTAAAAATTTATATACCATTAACTCTGGTTTATTTAACATTAACCTTTAATCGAACTGACGACTAAAATAATGTCCAACTATCTAATAATACCCGGGGCCACCTCCTGATATCTACAAGCCCTTCAAAGGATTAACACTTACTAGCTGGAGCTAATTTCCGCACCTGATGGCAACCTGGTCATTGTCCTCAACCAATAACCAAACATTTAACAAACCATCAAGACACCATTACCGTACCATTGGTCACCAGTAGAGTGGGTGGATGAGACGAAGACAGGCCTTGTGCCATCCCGTATAACTAGCACCGTTCATCCATAAGATAGAGTCGGGGTCAAAAGTCTTGAACACTTGACAGTATTTGGCATGTAAGTACCCGAAGATCTTAGGTATTAAGGAGAGTTTTATCCCCTTTTGTGGTTCAGGCATAATATGTGATGACAAGTAGTGTTATTAGTATATCCCAATCATATATGTATAACTCACAAGTAGATGCCAGATATTGCTAAGTGTTCAAGACTTTTGACCCCGACTGTACATTATCCCGTGTACTAGTGATGGTCAGTAAGTTAGGATAGTGTTAATTTAGGTTGAAGGACTCCTACAAACACAAGATCACTCGGACACTTAGATCATGTGGGCGTGGATGGTCTGGGCGTGCTAGGAGATTTGAGAAGAATCACTAATACCACAAGTACTACTACTGCTACGACTACTACTACAACTACTACTACTACCACAAATACCACTACCACAAATACCACTTATTTTTTTATACGTGGCCTCCAGCGTCCCCCAATAGCCACACCTTCGCCGCCATTTTATTACCTTAATATTAAATATCCTAATACAAAAGTAGCTATCCTATCTGTGTTGAATTAGTTGAGCCGCAGATCTATGCAGCATTCAGTGACTGTAGCCTCAAAGTCAATATCTGAAGCAGTTGTCGGCATTGGGGATACCACTACCACTACCACAACCACAATCACTACCAGTACCACTTCCATTACCACTACCACTACCACAATCACAACCACTACCACTACCAGTACCACTACCACTGCCACTACCACTACCACTACTATTACCACTACCACTACCACTACCACTACTAATACCACTACTATTAACAATGATAGTAATAAATTTTGATCGGTACCTTCCTGTAGAATTATGAAACACGGGAGAGGGATAACTCCTTATAAGATGCTGTACAGGAAGCCGATGATGGTGAGTTATGGAAATATGAAGCTCCTGTCTACTTAAGAAAGAATCAGAGTCAGTATTAACCATTATCGTTTTATACAGTAAACCCAGACACGACCTCCATAAATATGACTCTTATAACACTATTTTTTCTCTTATATTCACAATCGTGTATTAATATGAACAATTTACCAGTTATGAGAGAATGAATGGAAACTTTAGCTGAAAAATTTTGTATAATGTGTGTTGGTCTTGCACAAGCTTGACCCTATTGATAACACTTCTTATTGAGCATCTCGACAACCTCTTTAGTCTCCCTCAACGTGACAGTCTTCTCATATTAATTTTAAACCAGTTTTATCGACCTTGGTGAGGAACCGCCCAGATTCCTCGGTAGGTATATAAGTGGTGAGGTGTCTGAGATGACCACACTCACTCACTGACTTCTTCACCAGCATCATCAACATCATGAAGGTAAAACTCTAACTCATTTTCTCCCTCATTCACTTTTCTTCATCCTCCTCGAGTGCATCAAAACATCGAGTTGTTCATATCACTAAATTATTATATACATTAATTGATAATGAGTAAGGCGAGGTGAAACACATCCCATTAAATGTTTTCATCCTCCATAACATTGGAAGAACAACTTAGAAAAGTCGTCATTTGCAACACTTTTGTTCCCTGCTGTTATAAGTGACTTAAAGCTGTATAAATCACTATGATAACGTGCAAAAAAAGGAAATCAAGAGTACCATTGTAAGTATAGTTATATTTAGAATGAATTATAGGAATAATTAAAAATGAATGTGTGTGTAATTCCAAATGATATAATTAAAAAGTAAACAATTCATTTCCTGTATTCAATAACATAGCGTATCCTTGATACACTAGAACGATTAAATATCATTTTTGTCCTCACACAGGTGGTTCTCGCCTTGACTCTGGTGGCCGCCGCTATGGCTGCCCCATCCGGTCCCCGTTATGGCTTCAATCCCGGCCCTTCCTTCAACCCCGGCCCTTCCTTCAACCCAGGCCCTTCCTACAGGCCAACCCCGTCCTATGTGAGTAATGAATATTGTAGTTACAAATCTTATTCTTCATACATGTAATCCCAGTTAAGACTGTACCAAGACGTTTATTATGTGTGAGAATAAATTACTCACCAAAGGTGTAGTTTCTCACCGTTCTCTCCTCCTCCCAGGCTCCTGCTCAGTACAGCTTCGACTGGGCGGTGAATGACGCTCCCTCCGGTAACGACTTCGGCCACCAGGAGAGTCGTAACGGTGACAACACCCAGGGGTCGTACTACGTGCAGCTTCCCGACGGTCGTCTGCAGCGGGTGACCTACACTGTCGACGGCGGGTCTGGGTACGTGGCCGATGTCACCTACCAGGGCGAGGCTCAGTTCCCTACCTACAGTCCAGGCTCATCCTATAGGCCAACCCCAGCCTATAGACCTGCCCCAGTGTATGGTTAAAACATATAAAACCATCGTTAATGGCCAATTATGAAACTTATAAATGAATTGCCTAATATAAATAAATTATATACAAATTAATGGTTCACTCCTAATGTGAAAATGCTTGTAGAAATTCTATGTATAAAGTCTTTATTTAGCAGCAAAGGTGTTTTTTCCACTCTTGTTTTACGGATAATGAATAAATACAATTAAAATATAGATTCTTGCCTACCATTTCTCTCTTCCTTTGTCTCTATTTGTGTTTATTAACTCTCACATGACCGCCAGCTGGGTCACCGATCAACAGAACTTTACATTATAAAATATTGGTAAAAAATGGAAGATTTTCTTATAATGTTATCACTTTTGTGACATTTATAATTCCTAGGATGATTCTCATTCAAGTTAAATGTCAAAGTATCAGTCATGACTTCCTATTACGTTGTTATGGTCTTCCTGTGTAATATATATATATGAGTTTTACTTGAGATGACTCCTTCATGCATTAAAAAATACGGTCAGTCAAGCGATAGAAGGCGGACAATGAGTTGACTAACGCAACCAAAACGGCAAGGATGATGGAAACGGAACTGTGCTAGTTTTCAGGTAGTTCATAATCCATTTTTCACAAGCTTGTATCAGTCATTGACTTCTTCTGTTATTTGATATGAGATTCTACTTGGAGAGAATAACTATTAACAACTATTTCATTATTTTCATGCATAACCTATTTGAACAACTTTCATAAGAGATATTATATTTCGTCAATTTAATTACCCCAAATTATGACCTTTTATTACTCTGAAAGTTAACCTTCGCGGAAGAACAAAGGCTGGACCAACATTTTTCATTGTAACTAACAAAGTTTCCACTCGTGTGTTATATAATATGAAGACCCAAAGTCATCGTCTAGACATCTTCAGTCTTACATGATATGTGTTTTTCCCCGTCCAAGATGACCTCCATCAGCTGATCTTCCCTCACCCAGCCTACACAGGCACGAACCTATACAAGCTGTTGGACAGGTTATTCCTGCCTAGACTCGATTCACAGTCATCTTTATCTCATGTTGAGTTGTTGCCAGAAACAAAGTAACAATGTTATATAGTTTACACGGACACTAGTGGTAGAGCGGCGTGGTAGTCTGCTACTGTATGTAATAAAGGACTAAAACATGATTTCCTTTTGTCTCTTTGTGTTTGCCAATTAACACCACAACTCTGTAATTGTGTTCAAAGTGGCAGGGTGTCAGTAAAAGTTTCTATACCATTAACTCTGGTTTATTTAACATTAAACTTTAATCGAACCGACGACTAAAATAATATCCAACTAACTTATAATACCCGGGGCCGCCTTCTAACTTGTACAGGGCCATCAAAGGATTAACACTTACTCGCTGGAGTTGACATCCGCACCTGATGGCAGCCTAGTCATTGTCCTAAGCCAATCACCAAACATTTAACAAACTACTCTAGACATCTTTACCGTACCATTGGTCACCAGTAGAGTGGGTGGATGAGACGATGCTATCCTTTATAACTAGCACCGTTCATCCATGAGGTGTACTAGTGACGTTTGGTAAGTTATGGATAGTGTTAATTTAGGTTGAGAGGCCCCTATAAACACAAGACCAAACGGATACCTGGACCATGTGGGCTTGGGTTGTGTGGGCGTGGTAGGAGATTCGGGAAGTACTACCACTACTACTACCACTACCACTACCACTACACCTTCCAATACCACTACCACTACCACTACACCTTCCATTACCACTACCACTACCACTACTACGACACCTACCTCTACTAATAATAATGAGAGCAATAAATTTTGATAATAACTTTCCTGTACAGGAAGCCGATGATGGTGAGTTAAGGAAGTATGATGTTCTTGTCTTCTTGAGGCTGAATCAGAGTCAGTAGTAACCATTATCGTTTTATAGTAAAGCCAGACACGACCTCCATATATATGAATCTTAAAACACCCTATTTTTTCTCTTATATTCGCAATCGTAAATTAATATGAATAATTTCCTATTTTAAGCTGAAAAATCTGTATAATTTGTGTTGGTCTTGCGCAAAGTTGACCCTATTGATAACACGTCTTATTGAACACCTACACAGTCTCTCCCGTGTCCCTCACCGTGACACTCTTTTGATTATGTTTTTAAACCAGTTTTGTCGACCTTGGTGAGGACCCGCCCACAGTCCTCGGTAGGTATATAAGTGGTGAAGCTTCTGGGATGATCACACTCACTCACTGACTTCTTCACCAGCATCATGAACATCATGAAGGTAAAATTCTCACTCATTAACTCTCTCAGTCACTCTCCTAAAACTCTCACACTCTCTCTATTTCTCACTCCCTTAACTTCTCCTTCACTTATTCAATCACTCACTCTCCTTATGATTAAAATTGAAATTTTTGCAAATATTAGCTTCCCATGACTTTATTCATAACTTTTCTTTAAGTAACTCGAAAACAAAAAACTTTGTGTGCGTGTTTTAGTTTCTAACAACATAGGTAAATTACGAAGCAGGTCACTTGGTATGTAAGTGATCTGTTAAGAATATAAAGTATCAACATAAATTAAATTAAATCTCTGGGTCATGACCACAGGATCCTTGCTAAAGTAAGAGGATTAATTGTTACATTTTTGTCATCACACAGGTGGTTCTTGCCCTGACTCTGGTGGTCGCCGCTGTGGCTGCCCCGTCCGGTCCCCGTTATGGCTTCAATCCCAGCCCTTCCTTCAACCCCGGCCCTTCCTTCAACCCCGGCCCTTCCTTCAACCCCGGCCCTTCCTTCAACCCTGGCCCTTCCTTCAGTCCCGCCCCGTCCTACAGGCCAACCCCGTCCTATGTGAGTAATGAATACTGTTGTGTATCGATATTATAGTGACAAATATTCATTCTTCTTACGTCTAATACGAGAGGTTTTGTTTCTCACTGTACTTTCCTCCTACCAGGGTCCTGCTCAGTACAGCTTCGACTGGGCGGTGAATGACGCTCCCTCCGGTAACGACTTCGGCCACGAGGAAACTCGTAACGGTGACAACACCCAGGGGTCGTACTACGTGCAGCTTCCTGATGGTCGTCTGCAGCGGGTGACCTACACTGTCAACGGCGGCTCTGGGTACGTGGCCGAAGTCACCTACCAGGGCGAGGCTCAGTTCCCTACCTATGGTGCAGGCTCAGCCTATAGGCCTACCCCAGTGTATGGTTGAAATATACTTATCTCCATTGTATGACCGATTACGTAAATTATCAATAAACCATAAATTAAATTTGATGTACATATTAATGAATTTGTCCATTTTAATATAAATATTTTTGTTTATCAAATTTCTTGAAAGGTTTTATCCCATAACAGTACTTAAAGTAATCAATGTTTTCATCACTTCTTTTTCTCTAAAGTTCGGTAACTCTTTCTATTTACTCCAAGACTATCTATACTCTGATTCCTTCACACGTAACATTGATCAAAACATTCGTGTAACGTCTTGAGCTATACAGCAGTTGTCACTTCAGAAGCACTAAGACATAGCTTATTTAATCATATCAAGAAAATTGATCAAGTGATTATGCAAGTTATGTTACACTGTGAATTACCACAAGCCAATACCCTACCAACTGTATCATCATGTCAGTTTATTTATGAATTATTTCACCTTAGTAATAAATCTTGGAATTGGATTGATTTTGTTTGATTTTGTTAAGTTGTATATATAATATCCAGCAAGTACGACGGTTTACTTTATTCAACTAAACTACCTGTTTTTGAATTTTACATTCAAACCAAGTTGTCATGTCATCAAGGAAAATCAAAATTATCAGAGAATGTTTATGGTAATACAATACTGTGTGGGAGTTAGTCTCATGTTGATTGTTAATACTATTATTACTATCATCATCATCATCATCATCATCATCATCATCATCATCATCATCACGTCCTAAGTCATCGTCTAGACATCTTCAGTCTTATGATGTGTGTTTTTCCCCGTCCAAGATGACCTCCATCAGCTGACCTTCCATCAGCCAGCCTACACCAGATCCTATACAACCTGTTGGAAGGGTTATTCTTGCCTAGACTCCATTCACAGTCATATTTATCTCATGTTGCCAGAAACACAGTAACAGTGTTGTATAATTTACACGGACGCTAACGGCAGAGGGGTGTGGTAGTCTTTTTTTTTTATGGGTATTAGCCCTCCCGGGCACAGGTCACTGACCCACATCGGGGCCTGGGGGGCGAAAATGTAATAATCATTCATAGTAAATAAAATTTATAATAAAAAGTAAAATAAAATAATAATGATAGCAATAATAATAATAACTCTGTAATAATAATAATAATAATAATAATAATAATAATAATAATAATAATAATAATAATAATAATAATAATAATAATAGTAATAATAATAATAATAATAATAATAATAATAATAATAACAATAATAATAATAATAATAATAATAGTAATAATAATAATAATAATAATAAAGAACTATAAAGAAATACAAAAACGAAAAAAAATCAATAGTGAGAAACGCTTTATGTATGTTGTGTTGTCAAGTAAGAGAAACAATTGAGACCTGCAATTGTGTGTAAATGTGGCAGAAAGACAGATCAACAACGTGGGACTTGGTCACAATTTTCGTGATGCCATATGGCAGCAGGGTCTACCATTAGACAACACATTATGCTTCCATTATCTTCCCAGTCGGTAGTTCCTCCCTGTTTGGTAGCTGCTACTGTGAGGACGAGACAGGATGGGGGAGGTATGCACAAACCTGCTGATGTTATTGTTGGTCTTAGACTTGACAACAGTGGCCATTGTTCTTAGGGCAAATACAACAATGATTTAAAATTTACAAGAAAATATCACACTCCTTAACCATTTTGTTCAACAATTTCAAATTCATTTTCAACAGTTTATTCAAGTGAAGATTAAATTTCAAAACTGTTTCATATTACTAATTCACACAAAGTCGATATGATAAAGAGCCAACATTACATCTGTTATCAAGGTAATGTAATTTATAGATAAGTTGACAATATAATACAGCTTGTGTTTTGGTTGTTAGATCTTGTCTTGAAGTAATTTACTTTATAGTGTCACCTAGTATTTGGCCTAACAGATTTACGTGTCTTTAATAAAATGCCTCTCTAAAATTATTATTATATGCTTATTAAACAGACAGTCTTCGAGAAAGCCCCCAACGACAGACAGAGATTAACAGAGAAGGAAAAGCATAAATTTTAAGAAGTCTAATAACATTTATTACTTCTCTATGAAATCAAAGCAACAAAATAAAAATAAAATTAACATTGCAAGTAAAAGCTTTCTATACATAGATATTGCAACATTTCCACATCAAAAGTGATATATTATTTCTTTCTCTATATATAAATACATATGTAGGGGGATTTATTAATTATATGGTTAAATGTGTTTTAACCATACGCTGGGGTTGGCCTATAGGATGGCCCTGCACTGTAGGTAGGGAATTGAGCCTCGCCCTGGTAGGTGACCTCGGCCACGTACCCAGAGCCGCCGTTGACAGTGTAGGTCACCCGCTGCAGACGACCGTCGGGAAGCTGCACGTAGTACGACCCCTGGGTGTTGTCACCGTTACGAGTCTCCTCGTGGCCGAAGTCGTTACCGGAGGGAGCGTCATTCACCGCCCAGTCGAAGCTGTACTGAGCAGGACCCTGGGAACAGGAAAGTGTAATAAGTCTTCTTCATAACTTGTTTAAGTACAGTAGAAATGAAACAAAAACACTAGTAATAAATTATCCTGGAAAACACTTAATACATTCTTATCTGAACTTTCAAATATTAACAAGTGATATTCTTAAGCACGTTATCCACGTAAAAAACTATATTTATTACATAAGTTGGCCTATAGGACGGGGCTGGTCTGTAGGACGGGGCAGGGGCAGGGACGGGGGCGGGGGAGAAGCCGTAGCCACGTCTGGACGGCGCAGCCATAGCGGCGGCCACCAGAGTCAGGGCGAGAACCACCTGTGTGATGACAAATGTGTGACAATTATTCATATTATTTTATCAGTGACCCTGTGGTGAGGCTGAAAATATCAGCTGTCATTACTAAGTGATGCTAAACAAACTTGTGTATATATAATGACTGGCAAATATTTACCTAATGTCATTTAGAACTAACACTCATGTCCAGAGTTTCTGTACAGTTATATGGGAATTGACTAATTGATTGTCATGTATTCCTGTAATCTAGGCATAAATCTGTCCCTGTACTGTACCATCTGAATAAACTATTTTGTTTCTGGGTCATTATTCCAGTATTCGTTGTGTTGCATAATGTGCCAGAACTAAGGAGTTGGAGTGACCTAAACGCCACTATCTATTTATGAATGAACTTATAAGAATCAAACGTTAGTAAAGATCTTGCTGCTTTGATACACACGAGGGGAGTGAGTGAGTGAGTGAGTGAGTGGGTGAGTGTGAGAGTTTTACCTTCATGATGTTGATGATGCTGGTGAAGGAATCAGTTAGTGAGTGTGGTCATCCCAGACGCCTCACCACTTATATACCTACCGAGGACTGTGGGCGGGTCCTCACCAAGGTCGACAAAACTGGTTTAAAAATATTTTCTAAAGATAATCACGATAAGGGAGGTGGGAGGGGCTGTGTAGGTGCTCAGTGAGACAAAAGATGTTATGAATTGGGTGAAGCTCTTAAATTATTTTAGTTAAAATTACCAAATAATTTCTCGTCATCGGTGACAATTACAAATTAATTAAAGATTTTGAATAATAAAGAAAATATTATTCTTAAAAAGGCACATTTTTATTCAGGTTGTGTCTGGCTGAAGAGGAATAAGACTGTCCAGCAGTTGCTTTGTTATGGGGCAATAAGAAGCAAGTATCCGAAATAACAAAAGTTAAGAATAAAATAGAATGATATCAGAATGAATGATAATAATCAACAATTTGATACAAGAAGAAGCTGCCAGATCTATTTCACTAAAACGTCACACACTGTAATAGAAGAACATATGGCTTATAATAACTCCTTAACTTGTCTGTGTATTGGGGACATATGGGATTATTCCCCGAGGCTGTTAATGGGAATAAGAACAATAGAGGAACTTAAAACTGTAGGACCAACAATAACATCAGCAGGATCGTGGACACCTCCCACCAACCCGTCTCGCCCTCACAGTAGCAGACTACCACGCCACTCTACCATTAGTCTTCTGGTAAACTATGCGACATTGTTACTTAGGAAGTGAAGATGATGATGATGATGACGATGATGATGATGATGACGATGATGATGATGATGACGATGATGATCATATTAGTTATTCATGTTTAACTACATGTGTAAGAATATTACCTTAACCATTGTACTCTAATAACTTCTATTTTCTTGTTGTTACGACAAAATAAATAACTGTAAAATAAAAGGGTAGAGATACTATTATTTTGCCGTTTATTTCAACATCATTTATTTCTATCAATGTTGTTTGCTGTTTGTTCCTCCCAGTTTAAGTCTTAGAGAAGTACAGGACAGTATGCATAATGAAACTTTAAACTATCTATTAAAAGCCACATGGTTCAAATCGTCTAATTATCATTATAATAAAATAACAAAACTGTTATACTAATAGAACTGAGATGTTATATTACCTAATTATACTCTTAAATCACAAAAGGTACCATTCTATTTAAAGAAATTACCTGAGGTGTTGATATAAACCACTGAGGAATGAGTTAACAAATGATCGAAAAGTTGACA